GATGGATGTGGCACAAATATATATGCCACAATATTGTACATTCAGATTTTTTATTTGAGCTTAATGTGTTGCCTTTGAAGACTGAATTATATTACTGATTTGGTTACCTTTCTCTTTAAAAGATTTTTGGACTATTATGTTTAATCAAACTGCTCTGAGGATGTTTTCCCTTGTTAGGATGCTGAAATAAGTATGATGTTGGTTTTAAACCCCTCACAATGTCTATTGTTGTAAAATAGCTCAGTACTACAACTAGGGCTGAAATATGATTAACTTTTGTTTTGAAGCTATACTTTGACTAACAGCGGTCTGTATTTGTCCAAATGGCAGGTTTTTAAAATGAAATAGTTATTTCTATGTATCATTTTCCCCTAACCAAATGTATGAAGAAGACAGATGAGGAGGCTAAAGCATATGAGACCAAAAATGTTGATAGTGTACAAATACCAAGGGTATGCATCTCCTTCACAATACACATCTTTTTTGTAATTGCTTGGGAAGGATTTTTCTTCATGTGCAGTCAGTGATTGTGGCTATTGATAGCTATTGAATTGTATTATTTCTTAATTCTATGAGGGAATTAGCTGTGCTATATTGATGTAGCTGGTTGTTCTACCAATCCTTCAGGGTGGCTTAATTAATTAATTTTAGATAATACTTTTTTTTTTCTGATAAATGCTGATACTGCTGAAGATTTTAATTAGGTCTCAATTCATAGAAGTGCATACATACATGCATGTGTGTTACAGCCTGCATTACACATTTATAAAAAAATTCATGTTTCAGAGTTGTTTTATTATTTGTCTCAAACACCAGTTTATAAAAAGTCAAAAGAACGAGTAGCTCTGTCATGCCTGGCATTAGGGAAATCTTATTTCCTATAGATTAGGGTCTTGAAGTTGATTGACTTTAATGTTTAAAAAAAAGAGTAAACATCAACTGTAAAGTTTTTTTCCCTGTGAATGAGGTATTTAGAAGCTCTTCATGTCACTGGAATCTGTGGTGTCTAATAAGGTGCAGGCTCATGATGTGTGTTCACACAGTGGGAAGATTAAGAGGCTCCCAGTTTTCCCACTGCATGCATGATCACAAAACATGTATGAACTTCATTGTCCTTGAAACCTATTACCCACCCATTTGTGAAAGTGGTTGGAAAATGGCTAATGGCTTCGAGTTTTGGAAAGGAGAAGGCAGGAGAAAAGGTGAGAACAAGGGCAAAACCACCCTGCACGTGTGTGCAGAAGCATTGAAGTGATTGCATAAATGTCCTTTTCTGAAGGTACCAGGTGTAGAAGGGGTGGCCAAAGAATGGAAAGGGGAAGCCAGCAGAGGTCTGGAAAAGGAAATTAATGGAAAGAGTATGTGGTCAGGTGGGTCCACCAGGTAGCTACAATGGTGTTTTCATGTGGGTGTTGCCAAGGAAGAGAATCACAGGGAGGTTTTGAAGGAAGAACAAATAAATTACAGGAGAAACTGAGTAAGAAAGGTTCCGTGAATAGGGAAATGTATGTTGGAAAAGGTCCTGGAAATGACTGAGAGAGAGGTGGGACAATGGGACGCTGAGGTGAATGTCACAGCAGGAAGTGGGGCAACATATGGCCCCAGTCCAAGGCAGTTCTTTAGTTCTTGTTCAACTTAAAGAGCACCAAATTGGACAGCATATATGTGTTGAAAATTGCAGTTGTTCTCAGGGACTTTTCTTCAATGGAGCCATAGGAGTTAGAGGACTTAAAGGTCCACGGGACTGCAAAAGATGTTGCTTTGAAACAAAAGAGCAGAAATTGGAAGCTGATAGAAATGGCTCAGCCAAGCCAAGGAAGTAATTTTTAACAATGGTCTAATTAAACAAGGAATTCCTTTTACTTGGTGTGTTTCTGATGCCTTGAGAATGAAAGTGTTTTAACAGCCAATTGAAAAGTTATAGTTTATTCAGGCTTTATCTGCATTTATACGTATTGTTTCATCTGTTCACAGTCAATAATGATGTGCTCTATTAAAATTACGATCAGTGGATATATTATCAATGAAGAGTTTTTTTGTCAGATTGGTGTTTCCCACTGTGTCTTTTATGAACTCCAATCAGTGATTCTACAATGAAGTTTCTGTTGATATTTTGGTTGAAACTTCTTGCATGTTGTTACACTAAGTCTTGCTGGACTTTCACTGTTGAAATTGAGGCTCGGGATGTAATAACAAATTACATTTCCTTTGGTAGTAGATATTTAAAGAGGTGCTTACCATTTCCCCAGCTGCTTATGTAGTGGTGGCCGCACAGTTGTGCGTGCAGATTGGCTCCAGGGAAGTGGTCTGAACTAGAGAGGGGGAGGAAGGGGGACTGCAATTTTCCTGGTCCAATTTGCAGCAGTACTCCAGAGAGGCAGCGGCAGAAACTGGTGTGAGGGCATTGGTTTATAAGCTACAGAGACCTACAGAGGAGACGGCTTGAAGACCCCCTACATTTTCTGCAGGAGCAAAGTCTGTATAACACGGACTTGCCTCCTTATCTTTCCAAGTTGTGAAGCACTTTTCAAAATATTACATATTAGTTATTGATTTTTAGTAGTCGTCATCTTCCTGTTGGCACCCTTGCTGCCTGCTTCACATGCTTTTTTCCGTAAATCTTCACTGTGTAAACTTCAGCGTAACAAAAATGAGTAATGTGTCAGTCCCTTTGCGTGTTCTTTAATGTCAACAAAGTTTATATGGGGCATTTCTAACAATCTTCACTAAGAGCAAGAATGGTAAAAATGTCATTACTTTCCTTATGAACCATGAAACCAAATGAAATTGTAAAAGTATGAGGGATGATAATGCAGTATTAGAAGCAAAAGCCTACCATGCAGTTTTGTTTAGAGAAATGCTGAAGGCTTTGAAATGTCAAATAGATTCCAGTTGTGTAACTTGAGGATCAAATTATATTAACATCCATACTTAAAGTAAAATAATGCAATTTGTTGACTTGATTCCATTCATCTTCAATAAAAGTGAGTTCATAAATGAACATGACCTTTTTAAATCAAAGTTTCGGGTAGATTTCAGAATCTCAGCAATTACAGTTTTGAAAGGAAAGATATCAGTGTTTTTGCACATCTTTGTTAATACATTTTTTTAAAACACAATTATGGTTCATAAATAAGTGGTTCAGTTACTTTTTATCCTTTAATATGCTCACATGTCTCCTGAAATTCAGTAATTGTCTGTGTGTGTGTCTGTGGGTAGGCCTGTTGTAGTGTGTGCCTATTGTACAGTTGCCATATACTGCATAAAACTTGGACTCTGAGATTATACATCTATATCATATAGCTTTTTTTAAGGCACCTTTTAGAACTTACCCACATGCTGTCCACTAAGTGCTTACCCTTTTGTTGCTTTTCTGTCTCTTAAACTGTGCCTGGCTTCCTATTTCTGTACTTTTATTTTAAAAAGAACGTACTGCTTTTCTCCTAGACAATACGGTTGGAAAGTATATGTTGTTGCATGACATATTACATCAAATTAAAGCTGCTAGACTTGAGTATGCACCTCAAAGTTCATTCTATGTCAGGAACCATCAGGGCTGGATTTGGGAGCCTTGGAAAATAAAGAGGGCATTAGGAGAAGCAGGTGGTGATAAGGGAGTTCGCATGGGTTTATTAGTGAACAGTTCCAAATCTGCTTGCACTAAAATTTTGTAGTTCTACATGTGGAAAAGAAATTTAGAAACCTTCTAAGAACCAGTAGAATTATATTTGTAGTTATCATTTGGACGTGCTTATAGCAGAGTTCTTCGTACTTGTCTTCAGGCTTAAATGACAAAGCATAATACCAGCCAGCACTGTAAAACTCTTAAAGGTATATAAAAATATCTATGCTCTAGGAAGTGATAAAAAGCAGCAGCTGAGGAAGGGACTAGCCACCTAGCTTAATTTATAGGCAACCATACTTAAAGTATGGTTTAGTGATCTTGGCACACTGCGTGATCCATTGTTAGTTTATTCAGATATTAGAATCCTTGTGATTCTTTACCACTTTGTTTTATGTGTTTGAAGCAGGTATATTAGGGAGAAACGCCATCATTGCGATGCTAATAATGCCCATAAAAATCCTCATTTGCAACATTGATGCAGTCAGTATCTTGACGACTCTTGAAGAAAATACTAGTCCTGCCTAGTGTTTGGCTGCTTCCTGAATATGGAAAATAGGCCGAGTTGTGTTTATAGTGTAACACAGATTTGTACTACAGAAATCAGATGACTGCCGACCTCACTAGCCAAATACGTTTTAGCAGTGTCTCTAGAGAGCAAGCAAACTTCTAGGTAGACAAGCATATTAAACATTCTAACCTGAAGTTTTAAGGTATAGGATACATGTAGTTGACGTCTCTAAATGCTGGATTACACTTTTCATTTCACTGAGTGCTTCTGATTGTAGCCCAGTCTGGGGGGGATGTTAGGTTGTGCCTCCAGTTTAGCCTTTGCAGCTGCTTCTGAGTGTTGATGCATCTCGGGCTTTAAATGCTATTCTCCCCTTTGGATAAAAAGATTTTTACTTCTTCTGAGACTCTTCAGTACTTTTACCAGATAGTAGATCAAGTCCCAAGAATCCCAGTGAATCAGCCAAATGCTTTTATGATCTGATTCACATCTGGATGCCATTCATATCACAGGTGGAAGCAGTGCCTCCGGTTGCCTTTATGAGAGTATTCCCAAACAAGTGCAGAAGGCAAGGTGGGCTTTTTCTGGGGGAGTAAAGACAGCCCAGAAGTAAACTGGAAGGCTGTGAAAAATAATGCTTTTATAGATGGAATTTCTTAGACAACCTTGAAAACTGCAAAACCAAGGAGAGATGAATAATTTCCGTGGACATATATCCTGTATTTGACAATTTTAGTAGTACATTTTGGGTATTCTGCGTGATTTTAATATCTCTAGAAACAATGTGTATGAAGTGCATTGTGCACCGGTGAAGCAAGTGGATATATACTAGTGCTATTCAACATTTTTTTCTTCTTTTTTTTTTAGATCACCTTTTGCTGCTGTTACAGATTACTCAGTAACAAGAAATAATGTCATACAGCTCTGTCTGGAACTAACAACAATAGTACAACAGGTATGAGACCGTCTGCTTAGCAACTTTTTTTTTTCCTAAGCTGTAAATGGCCTTTACCTTCTTCACACAATTTTGTATTGCTCTGTCTGTATCATTGCCTAACAAAAATAAGGAAATACTCATACTTAGTAAATGCTTTATAAAAATTCTGCTTCCTGGTTTTATAATACTAGTTTGGGTTGTGCTGTGTATATACCTCTGCATATCTCAGTAGTAAGATTCATCTTGGGTTCTCTAGTCTAGTATCGTCACTATAGATTTGTGAAATCTACTTGATTATTTGCATATTTAATTTCTCATATTTTGTCTTTAATTTTTAATTAACTGTCTGGTTCAAAAGGTCTGTATGTATTGGACTTCAGACATCTGCTCTTTCATACAATTCATATCATCTAGGTGTCCTTTATGATGACACGTCCCCATTGGCTAGAAAATTTTGGATACATTTTTGTACATCGAACCTTCAAGAAATCCAGAAGTAGGCAGTGAGAAGCACTTTCTTAACGGGCTTCATTTGGGATTGCAATCTAGAGAACCTTCCCCACCATTCTGTTTCTCCCGTGTACGCGATTTAGGTCTGTCCCTATCTTTGCGTGTTCTGCTGAAACTGAAAAGTCTCTTTTGCTGCAAGTTTGAACAAATGATGCCAAATTCTGTAGAAATAACCTAGGAAGTTAAAGTAGTTCTATTCAGTTGAGCATTATCATCTACCCTGATGCATGCATTTCTGAGTCCGGTCTGCTGCTGACTACTGTGAAGGGCCTTGGTACCATCTTATACCATCAGTTGACCATGTGGTGGTGCAGCAGTGCCCATCATGCAGGGGGAAAACGATCCAGCGAAGGTTGCCTCTCCTGGTGGCTCACCAACAGGAGAGGGAAGGTACCACTGCTGCCAAGCAGAAGTTCAAGGCTGTTTGCACTTGAGAGCGTGGAGTAGAGAAAAAGGGAGAGATTGGGCTAAGTAGGAGCACTGAGCACTTCTGGTTTACAGAAGCATCGCTCCAAATCGAGTGAAGCTCAACTTCTGTGACCTCTTGGCATGACCTGGTATGGTGGTACTCTCCCTTTTAAACAAGGAATGCAGTTTTCTCTGGCCCTTTCATAAATGTGTGCAACACTGAGAATTAGTTGGGTTTGCTTCCCACCTGAGTTGGAGAAGAACAATATTGCTAGTCCTGTGTGTTCAAGCTTGGGAAATGAAAGTTTCTCACTTTTCTGTATTATTATTATTAATCATTTTCCCTCAGTTATGTGTGGGGTTTTGGATGTGGAAATGAAGCATGGTCTGTTCCCTCCCCACAGGCCACACAGCAAAGGTGCCTGTTTGCTTCCCGGGCCCAAGGGCCAAGGGGTGTCCCCCCGGTCGTGTCCTTCAGCAGCCCCACACTCTCCACCGGGCTTCTTGCTGTCACCTTGCCTGTCCTGGTTTCAGCTACGACATTGCTTCAGACTGGGACAGAGGTGCCAGCAGTGGTGGCTGTGGAAGAAGAGCCCAGGCCTTCATTTTCTTGGCTGCCTTTTGCACAACACGTTTTTTTTTTCATCTGTTGTCTTGTGGCTTGCTGTGCCCTTGTTGAGCTGTGAGAAGGGGTCAGTACCAGGGAGGCGCAGAGGACATCCCTTCCCCTTGGTCCAACTGCTCATTTTCCACAGAAGTAGCTGTGCATCACTGTCTAGTTCTTGAATTGAGGGGGAAAGGCTCCTGATTCATTTTCATGTGTCCACTATTAGTGAGAAAGTGGATAGAATATCAACTGCTGCAGTATTTCCCAGGAATTAGCTCAATATCAGTTCATTTTCTTACAGATTCATCCCTGTCCATGATACTGAGAATTTGCTATGGTGTAGGTAAATATTTCTCTATGTATATATTTCAGCGTGAATGAGAGCAAATGTTACTATTTAACACGGTTGGAAAACAGCAGTTTTATCTTCACCAAAACTGACATAATTCCCCAATAAGAAAACAGTTCAGTACATGAATCAATACTTTGAAGACAAAAGGAGCATTTAAGTGCCCAAACTTAAGCAGGCTCTGAAACTGAATTGGGCTGTAGTCAGAAGAATGATAACAAAAAATTCCATTACTAGTCCCGAACACATGTGATTTGATCTCTACTTAAAACAACTGCATTCCAACATAGCATTTCAAAATGTCTTCACTGAGATTTTCTTTTATATGATCACTGAACACACTGAAAGTCCTCACTGTGCTTTCTTGAGGCTGTAAAATGAGTGTTTCAGTATCAGCTCATCAGGTTTTTTTCTATCTTCAGAATCTGTTTTGTATGCAAAGTACTTCATAGTACTTCACTAACTTACAATAATTTACAATTGAATTAAAAATGTTTTTTGTTTGTTTGTGAAAGACCTATGGAAGGCAGTGTTACAATTGTTCTTGTAACAGTAGCTAACAACAGATTTTTATAAAGCTTGAAGGTTTGTTAGAAAATGCAGAATGGCACATATTTTGTTTTAACCATTTCATTTTTGATGTGTGTTGCACATTGCCCAGGATCCAACTAACAGGCCAGCTCACAGTGGATATTTGTTGGCGGAAGCAGGCCCCTGAGAACACTGCAAGTTATTATTGTAACCTGCTTTGCATTCACACTAATCTATGCAGCTGTTTTATTTTGGCTTAGGGATTTTTTTTCTCCCCCTTAGGACTTTAGGATATTGTTTCATAGGCACTTCCTGCAGGTTTTCAGTCTTAAGCCATCAGTAAGGAGGATGGTATTATTTAATTCAGGGCTTGCATTCTTGTTTCATTTTTATAATCAACTCTTCCCTTGCAGCGGAACATTGGGAGGGGAGGTGTGTGTGGAAGATTTAAATAACAAACAAATCCATGAGTCTATCGTGATTTTTGCTACCATTCCCGTGTACTCTCTGCCTTTCTCTCGTACACTTACCTTCCTCCCCACAGGAATATGGGGCTAAGCATTATCTGTACTGTCTGTTTACACTACGATGAGTAAAAAAGGCTTGTTCATTCTTGATAGTACAATATAGGTGTTAATGGGAAATGGGTGTATAGGTTGAGGGGGTTGTGTAGGTAGGGAGATAGTTTTGATTTGTGCTTTTTTCCCCTTTGGTTCATTTATGAATTTAGATTTGTGTCTGCAGAATTGTTCCAGTCCGAAAAGCATATAAGAAAGAACACGAGTGTCTCCTTGTCTTTATGGCGTTCATGGAAGTCTTGCTATTTACTTAGATGGCGTGTTCGGCTTCAGAGGGTGCCAGGCACTGGTCGTTTTAAGTGTGCTTGCTTGTTTTGGAAAGGTGGCAGTAGCTACAATGATAACTGTAAGGAAAAGAAGACTTATTGCTTTCTTAGGCAATCTGTAGGTAGCTTTCATTATCATTGTCAATGCTCTTATTCCTCAGGAACCCATTGAGGTTTCACTAAAGAAGCTTTCGTCTTTAGAATTAAACCCCTGGAAATCTTGGAAATATCTGAAAAGTCTAATTTTATATTGACCTTGTAAGATACTAGATTTTAAAGAAAATTTTACTGCTGAACACCATAGTTCTTATAATTGCTGTTTAGTAGCGATCATTAGTAGCACTCCTCACATGGTTTTTACTTTCCTTAATCAGCTTTCACAATGATTTGCTGTGTTTATTTAGTTTTAAAACCACTGATGTTTATCTTGCAGCTTTAATGTCTTGTGGGATTTATTTAGCAAGATGCTCCAGCAGAAGCATAGCTGTAGGCCTGTAAATACTCCTTTGTAAAAGCTTCACTGCAATTACTTCTCTGCCTAAACACCTTTTTGAAAAGTCACTATGCAGTGGAAGCAATTATGTGTAATGGGTGGAGATGGAGAACTGTCACTTGGCTGACATGGATCTGGCTTGCACTGTTGTCACAGAACATACTGCTGATGTCATCTGTCTCACAGCAACATTTGGAAGTGAACTCGGATTTTGGATGATATGGGTTGAGAACTTGGGTGATGCAATATGGGAGGTGACGGTCAGGGTGGAAGATAGCTAGGAAAGACCGAGACAACCATCCACAAATACTCTGTCTGGACATACAGGCACCTGGGATTTTGAGCTAAAAGCCCTAATTTCGAGCACACGTAGAAGTGCCCTGTACATTGCCTCAGCTGAGTGATTTGGAGCTTACCCCCCATTTAAAAGTGTTTTGAGATTTCACAAAGTCAGAGTCCATATACGGCGTGCCCTGAAGGACTTGCTTCCCATGCTGGGAGGGGTAATCTTTGTTAGGCTTCTAGCCACTGCTATCTTTTAGATAGAAGTTTTTGAAAAGGATCACAAATTATTTCTTGAGCAGTGCACTGGTTTTGTATGATACTGCATTTTTTACAATGAAATGGCTGTGATGAACGTTTCAAATATTACGTCTCACTAAGAAACTCAATGCAGGCTTGTTTTCCAATTTAAAGGATAAAAAGGGAATTTACTTTTAGCCCCCCGCCCCAACTCAGGATCCAAATGAAATGATATAAAATGGTTCTGTTCTTTTTTTTAGGACAGTATCAAATACGTGAATAGATAAGACTAATTAATATCCTTAGTACTATGGTTACAAAGTATCTCACATGTAATATTTTCTATCACAATTCCTCACTTGTGTTTTTAAGTCCTAGTTATTAAGGACTTTAAGGACTTGCTAAATATAGCCTAAAAATTTTGAATTTTAGGTCATACCAAGTAGCTGGTTACCTCAGGTATCTTTAGCTAATAAACTGGCTTTAATAGTTTAGTGGTGTGAATGTTTGGTTGGTTCTTCATTAAAGCTGCTTTGCGCTTCCAGATTGTTGGGATTTTCAAAGCAACATGTGTTTGATGGAAACAGTTATGTATTAAATTTTAAAGTTTTTAATTTAAATTTTCAACATTATACTTTCCACCCCAACTTTGCTATCGAAGCAGGAGAATCTCTGTTAGCCTACCATGGTAATAACCCCCTCCCCTCCCCCCTTTTATTAAAAAAAGTACTGTATGGTGAGGAGGACATGTTGT